TAATTAGCATAGTAAGAGCTAACCTTTGAAATAAAATTAGAAGTAACAGAAAAAAAGTGCTGCAGTATTTAGGTGTTTAGTATTTTGTTTAGGTATCTAGCATTTAGGTTCAACAAAATGGTTCCAAAAGGAACACACCTTCCTGTGTAAATAGGGTAAATGAGAAATTAAGAAAGGAGTGGGTTTTATACCCAAGGGGTGAGGGAAGTGTTAAATATGAAATTATGAGGAAAAAATACTAAATTCAAAAGCATGCAAGTGAATTGGTGAGACTGAGGTTCTTGTGGAAAGTAAAGAAAGAGAGTGAGAATGATAGCGATTTTGTCGGCAACTTTAAGTATTTCTTATCACTAGAGAAATTATTTACCTGTTTGTCTCAAGTAAATACAGTTGCAGCCTTATCTGAAATCAGTTGTTAGAAGAAAAGGTGGCAGAACAAAATGGCAAATTAAGCAGAAACAAATGACCCAAAGAACAAAAGCATTCATTCCAGAGCTCTGCAGGAACATAAGAATAAAAAGGCTGTGCAAGCACCAAAAATAAAAAAAAAAATAAATAAAAAATAAATAAATAAAAAAATATACAGTGTCCCATTGAACTGGTAGAAGCCTGAGTCTCTTACTGGCTTTAGCAGAGTTTCTGTTATACAACAAAATGTTATTTGCTTGCTGGTTGCAAGGTTTTTTTGGAAGAGCACTATGAACAGCTGTTCCTTTAGTGCACTGTTCCACCTGGTTTAAAATATTATTTTCCAGTTATTATGAAGTTTTCTGTTTCCTGCTGGAAAAGAAAAAAAAAAGTCTGTTCTTCATCTACTAAAGATAAGGTCTTAATTTGATCAATTAAGAAGTAACACTGCTAGATTTTCCACTTTCTACTGAAAATACAGTAGAGAGCAGGGGCATTTTAATACTATTAACTGCAAGTAATGGTATGGTCTAAAAATCAGGAAGAGACTAGAAGTCAGATAAAGACCAGAAGCTCATAGGGATTCATTTTAAAAACAGATTTCACTTATTTAATGCAACTGCTGCTATTCACTTAAAAACATCATGCCAATTAGGAGGTTCCCTATTATCTTAAAATTATGAATTTTTGCAGTAGTGGAAGAGTAATCTTATCTCTTTATTAAGTTTTTATATGTCATTCTTCTAAGTGGGCCAAGGAAGAGGAGAGAATTAAGGTTCCCTAAAGATCTTGAATGAGCATTTACATCTGAGTAAAACCCCATCTCTCATGTTCTATGAGTTTAGGGGATTGTGTTGGTTTTTTGGTGTTAGTTTTGTTGTTGTTGTTTTCGGGGGGGAGGGTTTGTTTTTTAGTGTTATGTTATTTTAAATCCAAATGTAGGCATGCAACCTATTTCATCTATGCAACACAAATAATGTGAAACAGCTCTCTATAACAGTGAGATCAAGGCATCTTTTATTACAATTAAGAACATAATTTTCTCCATAAACATTTTTAAAGTAAACTTTAAAATTCAATTTAGGAAAATCTATGTAAGTTGATGATGCTCTGGTCAATCACTACATTTGTTTTGTTTTGTTTTTGTAAAAAACAACCTAGTAAAAAAGAACAAGCTCCATAATAAATCTATTCTTTAAAAGTGAGTATTACAAAACGATATTTTTCTTGCTGCTTCAGACCCTGATTTTAATGATTGCTTCATCACACTTAAACATTAATCCATTAAAAAATTTTATGGAGAAGGTTGTATGTTTCTCAACAATAACAGGTATACCCATACCCATACTTTTTAAAGCCTAACATGAAGACATCATTGTTTCCTTTTTGGTGAAAACGCTAGGCCATTCATCCATGTCTTTCTGTTTTAGGAATAAGCAACCCAAAATCTTATCTGCCATTTTTGCTATTTCCACCCCATCCCCATCACTGTGAGAATGATTTTCACCTTCTGCTCCTTTGAGGTTTTAAATCCTCTCTCTACTGTATTTGTACAGATTTAATTTTATTTTGAACATCTAAATTGGTATAAAGATGCAATTAAGTGGTTTAGTTCAAGGATTGTTCTGATTGGTTAGGATTGGTCAGGATTATCTGTAAATATTTTTTTTTAAAATAAATTTGACTATATTACTAACAGGAACATCTGAAAAATCTTTTCCTAACTCTATTCTGATTTGCTTCTTCATTACGAATTGAAAAAACTATTCAGCAACGTGATTCTGTTATACAACTGTACACATGTAGAGAATTCAGCTCCTTACTTTAAGCAAGTACTGCTGATTTTTGCCCATGAAAAGCCTTACAAATCCTGTTGAGAGAGAAATCTACTCTTCCCTGCAGTGCAGTAATGGTACACCAGTTTGAGAAGTCAGGCTCTGATAGCGTTGATTAGTTGTTCTTTTCTGTTACAAAGGGTAGACAGGAACCTGCAAAACAGGTTATGGGAGCTTGTTTCACAGAAGGCTTTGTTTCAGTACCATTTTCAGAATTAATCAGAAACTTGAAACTTTTACTCAGAAAGGCTAGTTCTGGTATTTAATCTTCTCAGTCTTGATCATGGAAGGTGCAAAGCACTATAACTCTTACCACACACGCAGAGGTGGATGCTTGCTAAAACAATGTACACCTTCCAAAGATTTAGTACCTCCTACCAGGTCTTACTTCCCAATTTTATTTTGATACTTGGTCATTCTGTCTATCTTTTAGTCATCATTGTATGCTGTTATCTCACTATTTAAAAACCTGTGAATGTGGACTCTGAGAAGTGAATTCAAAGAAGTCAAAGTTACCTTGCCAAGTTTGATTTTCTGTTTCCAGCTCATAACTTGTTAATATAATTCTGTCAGACAGGATGTAGTACCCAGTACCTAGGTATTTAAACTCAGAAAAGCAACTGAAGTTTCTGCTCTATCTAGTCTTAAAATTAAGAGATACTGCTAAAATCATGCTGTTCTGCTTTCTTTATCACAGACCACAATGAGGAAATAATTTGCTTCAGTTCCTTCTTGAGCTGCTAAGATCACTATGTGAACACAATTTTCAGAAATATCTTTAAAACAACTACTATTGTACCTATTTTCCAACTAGCAAAACCTAGTCAGAGAAAGGCTCTTACAGCTTAGGCAGTACTGTACATAAATTAATAGCAAGATTAAGGCTGGAGAATTAGCAACTACTGGGTGCTGACCCAGTTCACCAGAATACACTACCAGGACACATTTTTTCCACATCGCAGAAATTCTTTTTGTAAACTGCAGTGCTGGGCCACCCTGTAATTATGCACAGAGCACTTTAGGACAAAAAAAAAAACAACAAAAAAAACCCAACAACAAAACCCAACAAAAACAATCTAACAAACCAAATAATTTTTGGCTCAACAGCTTTACACAGAGCTTCAGAACCTTACTCTCACTACACATAATATTCCTTCAAACAGCCATCTACTCAGGCTCTGATTCTCTCTTAGACCACTTTGTACTGCTTGTACAGTAGAGGACCAGAAAATCAAGTCCTTATAGCATAGCACAAGGACTAGTTCTTATAGAAGCCTCAGAAACCCTTACTAACCTCAGTGAGGCTTTGTACTAGTGCAGAGGTTAATTCATGTGGAACTAATTGAAGGACTGAAGCCTAAGTAAGAAACTGGTCTAGCTCAGTTTGCTTGTTATCCAGTGATCAAAATACAGTGCTCATTAAGTGCAGAAACAAAGAGTCCAGATGGATTCTTTATATCTGAGAAATGTGTTTCCCACTTAAAAAGAAAATAAGCAGTAACACTACAGTGGAATTTGAAACCTTATTGAAAAGAAGGAGAAGTCTAAAGCAGGTATTTTAATAAAGAGTAATTCACAGGCCCTTCTTTTATGCATTTTATTACATATTTTCACCTCAGAAAGAAAAAAACATACACAAAATGCAGCGGGACTACCTGAGTCTATACAACATAAATGAGACTAAAAGAAGTTACCTCAAGGAGCTGACCTGGCTGAAAAATTAACCTAGTAAAATAAATTCTTTCTGCAACAGGATCAGTTGTCTCATTCAACTTTCTATACAGTCACAATTAGCACAAATGCCAATACTAGACAGTGGGGAAGAACATGGAGTCAGGAATGGGGAGGAAGGGCAGCAGAGTTTCAGCATCCGTATGGTTAAACAGTGTTCCAAATTCTGACTGGCTAAAAAAAATGTACATCAGACAGGCACCAAATCATTTAAAATTTGGCAAATTGTAACTAGCTGTGTCAATCAAATAATTATGCAAATAAAACACTTGGTGCCACGTACAGGACAAAATCTGTGAGATAACTTCATAGCTGAGCAGTCTGGGTTGCCACGTGTCAGCCTGTCTATGGCTTCCATTTGTAAATATATCTCAAACACTGTCTATCTGTTCCCATCAAGATGAATTGATCCAGGCACTCCCTCAGGCATGTTAACCCACCACTTAATCATCCAGTAACACCTTCCAGCCCCACTTAGCTGCTTCTTTGCAAGTGCCTGTGTTTCTGAAGGTAGGCTTATGTAAAGCTCCTGATGTTTTTTGCTGTGTAAAGACCTAATCACAAGTGGATTCTCAAGTATGTCTCTCCTGGTTACTTCATCCAGTCTGAAGCACATCTACAGGCTTAGGCTCCACAGAGTAAACAGGCAGGGACAAGACTTCTGATCGTTGGTGGCTAGTATTTCTGTGCATTGCATATACGATTATACTCAAAATCCCCAAAGTGAAAACACTTGGCTGCAGTGGTAGGGACTGTTTCCTTTTTATTAGCTCTCAAGATGTACCTTCTACACAAATCCAGATTTTAAAAATGAGCAGCCTGAATAACCTGAATTCAATGGCTCCCGTAGGACTACTTACCATACTAGCTGATACTTCAGGGAGCAAATCAGGAGTGCAGTCTGGAGCATAATAAAAACTGCATGCTACAATCAGACACATCCAGTAAGTACTAAACAGATATTAACATTCAGATGTCACTACTACTTCAGAAGAGTAAGTCATGATATCTTTTTCCTCTCTTCAGGTGTAATCCTTGGATTTTCTCTCCGATCATACAAGATGAGCTATCGGGAAGTCAAGTACTTTTCATTTCCAGGAGAACTACTCATGAGAATGCTGCAAATGCTGGTCCTGCCACTAATTGTATCCAGTTTAGTCACAGGTAAAAAATTAATCAAGTTTTAATATAATTTTATGAAGATGCAGACACTAGATCATTAAAAAATGGTCATTACATGTCCCAGTAGTGTTACAATCTGCAGAAAGTGATACCTTTCCTATTACTGTTTCAGAGACAATGTAACAAAATATTTTAATTAATATACCAAGAAACGAAAAGATGCTTTTCCCAATTCCAAGACAATGTAACTGTGCAAGTTACTACATGTAGCTGCTATGAAGCTAACTCTGTAATACACCTTCTTCTCTTACTTTCTGAACAGATTGTTTCCTCCACAATGTTCTGCTGTTACCAAAGAAGATGTATCTTAGAAAAATGGTTCTAAAGCCCAAGAAAGTTTAAACTATTGATTATGGGCAATAAGCCATGCTTGTGAACCCAGATCTATAAAACATCTCTCTACCTCCTAATCTTTTAGCAACAGACTAGTAAAACCAGGTGATAGATAGGATAGATTGTATTATTTGGAAGAAATTTCATTCTAATAACTGTGGTTTCTTGCCTTCTGGTCGGCAACTCTATTAATCTTCAAGCCCTGTTTACTAAATTGTTCATTTGGCTAGAGATCGAGTAATTGACTTCTTATGATGATGTATGCTTTGTTATCCCACCTGAATGTCATAAAAGAGCTCTCATATTTTTGTAATGAATGTTCAGAATGTACTTGTCATTAATTTAACCTGTTGATTATTTGAAGAAAAAAATTATGGACTTTGGTACATCAGCAAGCAGGTACAGCTTTGAGAACTTAATCAAAACCACCCATGGTGCACCCCTATGATAGAAACACCTAATTGTCTGCCTTAATTGTCAGAAGATCCAGAGACTGTAAGCTGTTCTCTACTTCATTGATTTTAAAATATTTTAATACTAAGATCTCTCTTACAAATGCAAATGAGGATACACTCCATGTTCACAGATACCAAAGATGGTATGCAGGTATGTATATAAAATGTTAATATGACAACAGAAGACAAGGGTTTTCACAAAATCATTTGCCTTCACATATCTTGAAGATAAAGTAAAATTTGTTTCTATACACACATATTGTATGGATATGAAAAGGTTAATGTGCACTGAAACTAGGCAGAAATACATGAATCTTGTAGGGGAAACAATGACAGTTTTTTTCCCAGTTAGTATAAAATCTGTTGCATGTCATATCTCCTTGTTGTCTTCTTGTCCCTTTCATCAGCAGAACTCCCAAGTTGGCTGGACAATGAACCATTAAAAGCAGAAAAAAAGAGAGATATTTAACCTTCTTCAGTCTCAGCTGTGGCTGACACTACTGCTCCATTTTGTAGCATGGGTTACTGCAGGAGAAATTTCCTATTTCTAATTTTCTTGTAACTCTGCATCCATATTGGTTCTCTGAGAGGGCTCAAGGTAAAGCAGTAAATTAGATAGATCATCCTATACAAGGATTTGATTTGACTTCCAAATTTCAAATATCAAAAATCTTATCTCTCTATAAGATTTGTCTTATTATCATACAAGTCCCTTGCAGTTTTAAGTGGATTAGTATGAGAGTTTCCCTTTGAAGTAGAGACAGTAATTTTCAAGATGAAAAACAACTTCTAGATTTCTTTAGTCATACAGGGAACAATCAGAGAAAACTCAATGAACTGCACAAATTAGAGATTTCATTGTTTTTAAAAAGGTTAATAAATAAAACAGGATTATGTCTTTCTTCATGGCATGAAAGGACATTTCCTGGTTTATTGCTAAAAACTGGAAAACCTGTTTTCTACACTGAACAATATTTCATTTAGCATACAAATGATGGGATTTTTGTGTTGGTTTGTTTGTTGTTTTGTTTTTTTTTAAATGCTCCTACATATTTGCTGTAGAACTCATTACATTACATTCTACATTATAAGCTAATTCACTGGATAAAAATCTTCTCAAGTCAATCTTAAGACCACTCTTGACATACATAAACCAGATTTCTTATTTCCTGTATTTTGTTTGGCAGTGCAAAGTGGATGCCTCTTAACTAACCTCAAAAAGATTCCTCCAGGATCTTGCACACTGAAAATATAATTGCTTCTTCCTATTGTATATTACCTGAATAGATATTTTTGCTGTTTGCAGGTATGACAGTGTCTCCCAGATCTGGTGTTCTGGGTTCCATTTGTATTTATTTATGTAAGTGTGCTCAATATATCTGGTTATGACAATATCAGAATATATGGTCTCTGAGGTATTATAAGTAGGCTGGGTATGATTATATTCCTTCAAACATTTTGTTAAAGTCCAAGATAATTTTTAAAAGTATGAATTTTTTTTATCTATGGGCTGTTAGGTAAGTGAAAGATAAACTGAGGAACTGAAGATCTCTGCTATACAGGTAAACAGTAATGATGGTTACCTGCAGACTCTTGGGAAAACAAACTATGAAAGATGAAGTCAACACAGTCATAATTGTCTATGGTCTGTTTTGGTGTTTTCATGAAGAATCACAAAGCAGAATCACATTCAGAGGTTTTTACTCACATTTGTGTTCTGACTTACCATTATTCCATGCTGCTCAAGCAGGTATACATTTTTCTCTGTAAGATTCTATCTTCTGATGTGTATGTTACTAGGCATGTACTAACATCTGCTTGAGAGAAAATGGAGGTTATTTGCATATATTTCACCATCTTTTACTAGTGTACTTCATCTTTTGTGGTTTAGACACAAATCCAACTGCATACTCTATACTGTTCTTTATTCTCTAATGTCTCTCAAATGGGAGAACTCCAAAGTCAGCACTCCCAGTCAGTATCTCTTACAAAGTCAAAGACAAAATTAAAGCACAGTATATGAGAGGTAGCATAAAGAACCAAAGAAATATGTTAAATTCCCTTTTGGATTATTCTGTGGCCAAATCTGGCCTGAATTCCTATACAGAAGGCTGACAATTTTTCTTCCTTTCTCTTTTGAATTTGCTACAGTTCAAAATCTTTTATTCCTCCTTATTTCATTATAATTTGAAGCCTTTGACATAAACAAGTTGCTTGTCATATTTATTTTAAAATATGCACTGTCTCTAGAAGGTAAAGTTTTTAAAAGAGTGTGAAGTGATAGGACCAGGTGTAATGGTTTTAAGCTAGAAGAGGGTAGATTTAGGTTAGACATTAGGGAGAAGAGGTCATAAGACACTGGAACAGGTTGCCCAGGGAAGTTGTGGAAGCTCCATCCCTGGCAGTGTTCAAGGCCAGGTAGGATGGGGCTTGGAGACACCAGGTCTAGTGGGAGGTGTCCCTGCCCATGCAGGGGGGTTGGAATTAGATGATCTTTGAGGTCCCTTTCAACCCAAACCATTCTGTGATTCTATGGTATATAAAATAAGTATATACACATATGATAACAGCTCAGCTCATCTTGAAATAGGCAAAAAGTGCCAGACTTGTACCAGCATTAAGAGTACTGTACATTAACATTTTTTTGAGCTGTTACAGCAAGGTCACCATGAGGTTGAAATTCCAGCCCTTAAAACTGGCCCACAAGATTTACTTGAATGTTTCAGTTATTCACTGAATATAAGGGCACCAGAATGAGGTACTTTTGCTTAACCAAACTATATATTTCCTGAAATCACATTCACAAAAATTATTTGTGACCAATCATTACTAAAAGTGTCAATGTAGTATAACATTTGTGAGAAATATTAAAGCTAGAGAAATTTAATAAGAGTTATTGCAATAATTTTGCATTATTCTGGTCATAGCTCATGCTGCTTCTCCTTTACCAAAATTTTGAAAGCTTGGAATTTAGTTGTACAAGGATCACTACTTTAAATGTAAGTAAACTAGGTTTAAATTATGTGCATTCATTTCACATATTTTTGCCTGGCAAAGTCTAGCAAATCATAAAAAGCTCGGTCAAGATCTGAAAATAATTTTTGCTGTACACTGTAGAAACAGTAAGAAAATAGCTAACAGAGTCCAGCAAAGATCTTTGTCATGAATATCAGTACAGTGCACTGGGCATTAGATGATGACGTTTGTCCAAATTGTTAATGGGATTAACACAAATATGGCACAGGTTAATCTTGATCACAAAAAAGGATTTTGTGTGCAAGATTTTGTACAAACACAAAGACTGTGAATCTTCTCACACAAAAGAAGGCTATGTAGTAGAACAGTTTAGAAGACTGGGTACGGAAGTTTTACCTCAAATAGAAAAACAGATTAGTACATAGTTTGTCATATGTGTTTGTTTATATTTTCTCCCCTTTCTAATTTGAATAATGACATTACTGGATTTATGGATTCTGGTAGATACATAAACTTCCCTGCCTCAGATGCAGCCTTTCAAGGACTACAACACTGACAACTGTAGGAGACACAAGTGACTTTCCTTTGGGCAGTCTCAGAGACACAAGATTATGTCTCCAGATTTTTCATCATGCTCATATTATTTACCACTACAACTATAGGAAGTGTTGAGAAAGTGCAGAAAGCTGGAGTTTCCATGTGTGAATGCATCTTAACTAATCTCAGATGTACATAAGATGCTTTTGATTTCATGGAGACAGGGTTACATTTTCTATCTCCTCACTGAGATAAAACCAAAGGCAAAGTGACTTAAGTAATAAAACAGAAGACACAATAGGAGATCACAACTAACAGACAAGTTGCAGATGCAGTTGCTAAAACTCACCTATAATGAAACAAGGATAATATTCAAAGAAGCAGCTGATCTTGAAATCCTCTCCCAGCCACTCCCTTACATCAGTCAGGAAAAATGCAGCATTTGGAGATGAGCAGATTCAACTGCTGAAAAGCCAAATTTTGCCCAAAACAACTTACGGATGTAAAATGTTGAAAATAAATGCTGTGACATGTTGTATAACCTTAGGCAAATGTTTCCCTCTTGTACTTCAGCTTTCTTTCTCCCTTCAGATGTATGCAGGTGTTTAGTTTGTTGCTTTTGGGGGTTTTTTTGTAGCTACTTAGCAGAAAAGCAGATTACTATATGTGATGGAAAATTTA